GTTAGGAGAACGCACACTAAGAAGGGATTTTTCGAAATTCCTCCCCACGGGGGAGAGGGACAGGATTAAAGCTTAACACTTCCATCAACAATGGAAGTGTTAAGTAACAATGGAAGTTCAAAGTAACAATAAAAGTTTTAAGTAACAACGGAAGTGTCAACAATGGAAATGTTACGTAACAATGGAATTGTTAAGAGAAAGCGACATGCCAGACGCATTTGCAGTTTTTTTCGTTTTTGCGGGAAATCGAACATATTTTTAGAACCATCTAAAAATTCTCTAATTAGTCTGGAAACAAGGGAACCCAATTCTTGCATTCTGTGAAAACAGGTAAGGTTGACTGTAATGTAATAATCTTTATCTTAGTTATTGTTACTTTTGCCCGAGCAATGCCGGGCCCACCTGCTAGTATATATATATATATGAAGTAAAACAGAAAATATTTTTAATTTATAAATTTGTTTAACTATATATATATTAATATTTTTGAAATAATATAAACTTAACTTACAACAAATAATGATGAAACAGGAGTAGTTGTATCTGCCGACCAAGATACTGAATCAGTCATCTATCAAAAATTATTATATATTTCAAATGTAATTATTTCAGCCAATAGAATTTAGTGAATAAAAAATAAGATACATTGATAATTATTTCAAACTTTAAACATTTAAGAATATTACATACAAATTTTAAAAAGTATTTAATAAAAGTAAAAGTTTATTTTTAAATTTTTTAATAACTGAAAATGCAATAATTATTTTTATTCTCAATTATTAAATATAATTGTGTTTTTCTCATAGTAAATATATTAAATATATAACTGTAAAAATTATTTTTCATTTGCAATGTATATAAAATAAAAATAAGAATTTAATATATATAAAAATCCATAAAATAATATGTATATAAATAGCCATTAATAACATATATTAACATTAGTGTTATAAAATGTATTAAGCATTTAACAGTAGTATTATAATTTTTTAAAAAATTTTATTTTAATATAAATATCACTCATTTAACATACTGCAGCTAACTTTATATGAGCTGCTCACTTGCCAAACTGATTAAATCCTCAAAACAAAAAGTAGAGAAATTGATATACATTATTTTTTAAAATTTAAATAAACATTGTAGAATGTATTTTTGTGCCATTACTAAGGCAACCCTAAAACAGATAAAGCAATATTTGAATCTGACCATGGGTTGCTGAAACCATGAAATGAGTGCGTACCATACTATTTCCAGTTATTATACAAAAGTAATTAAGCAATAAAGAAGAATAAAGCAGAAATTTTTGAATAAAACCAGGATAAAGCAGAATTAAGGAACTTTGTCACAGTTGCTATATTTTTCCTTGCAGCCCAAACTCCCACACTTTGTCTCTCTGAACTTATTGACAACCATAACAACTTGTTGGCAAGATAAGTTTTTTGAAGGCTGTAGCAGTGTAGGCTGTAGTGACACCTATGTCCAAATATGCCAAAAATAGAGACTTTTTCCTCACTTTTATATATCCATATGAAAATACAATACAGGTACTCTTCACTTTATGACCGAGTTTCGTTCCTATGACTACATCATTAAGTGAATTGGTCAATAAGTGAGGAACTTGGAGCATAGGATCGTTGTAAAATTATAAAAATTATGTAACAAACTTCAAATTCATTCATAAAAAGACATGCATATGTACATATTATCATTTGTTTATTTGGTTATCTGGATCTATAGAGATTTTTTTCCCAGGTAAAGGAGATGATAACAATGAAATAAAAGTTGTACCTTCAAGGGCGGAGGTCTTGGATGTAACAGTCGATAAGAAACTCGTAAGGGTGCTTTGCATTGTACTCTTTTTTTCTTGATAAATTTCTCTATAGCACTTCAAAAGTTCACTCATCCCATGTTCAACTTTATGTTAAAACATTCAGTATTAGGATCCATAGCCTCAAGTTCCAACAAAGTCACGTTAATTTTGGAGAACACACCAGCTAACCCATGTACCGTGAATTTCTTTTTCACTTCTTCAGTTCTTTCGTCTTCTTCCTCTTCCAAATACTGCATCACTTCTAACTCTATTAAATCTTCATTTGTTAGCTCTCCATTGGCATAATCCACTAATTCAGCAATGTCTTCCACTTCAACATCTAAATTATTTTTTCTATTAAGCTTACATTACTTTTGTGCGCCCTCTGATGGTATCATTTTTAAATATTAAAAACTTCATCTTCATACCTTATAAAAATGTAATCATTTCCTTTCAGAAAAATTGCAGTGTTTTTTGTATTTAATGTTAAATAGAAATTTATTGTTTTTGTTAAATAAAATATTTGTTTATTTTTAAATTTTTACTTTGGATAATTTGGTATTTTTTATTTGCTCAATTAAGTAACAAAATAAACTAGCAACCTTTTAAAATTTTGGTAGCAAAAAAGTGACTTTTCATTTCAAACAGTTGGCAATATAGCTCCCATATCCCTAACATCTGGTAACTATTAGTTATATCTGATATATTGCTGTAGAAGATTTGAATAAACCAAATTTCTAAGTGTATTTCATTGTATCTTAAGATAATGCCAAGATACCGGTTACAGCAGCTCTTCAATTATGTGAATTTTCTGATGAAGGGTTTGTGGTGGAGTTTGAAATTTGCTCTGTGAGTACTTCAATACTATGGTCAGCTACAAAAAGTCCACTCTGAATACACATATTGTAAGTGTAAAAATTGCAAGGGCAAGAGTAGTAGCAGCAATCAAAGAAACTTGCTGTTTACTAGTAAACCTTCAAGATGGCAAAACATGGTTTCCATATTCTGTTCTGCAAAAATACTCTTGTACATTTTCCATCATGAAGGGTTTGAAAGTGGATGAAGTATAATTTAAAACTATCTCTGAGTAAAAACTTGCCTATGAAAGCACCTTGACCAGGATTCTTCCTAAAGATGGAAAAAAAGATTTAGACAGTAATGCACAAATGTGTCAAAGTGCTGATGTTCTGCTGATACTAGATGAATTGGTTGATGTGAAAGTTGTAAATACATTGGTTGTGTGTCTTGAACCTATGAACCACCCTGTCTAGTGTGATTGCAGATTGTAGAGAAGTATAACAGTCATATCATTGTCAAAGAAGTGTTTGCATCTCTTGAACTTTTGATATTGAGTTAGATACTTTTATTGGATTTTTGGCAGATTTGGATTTATAACACTCTGTATATGTAAACAAGATTGTTCTACATGACATGCTGAGCACACATTACACATTTAGTTGCAGAAGAGGTGTGCACTAAGTACAGCATCCTGAACCATTTCATCTCTGAGATAAAGACAGCTCTAGTGAAGGCAGCAAACAGAAGAAATTTTTTGCAGATAGCTCTATCTGCTAAGGACCATTCTTTAGGACTTCCACCTGTACCAGTTATACTCAATGGAAGACATGGCTAAATGCAGTTTTGTACTACTGTAAGAGGTGGGACACTAGTGACATGGATTAGAAAAAATCAGACTATGAAAGGAGCTGCATTGCAAGGGTTCAGCGAGTTACTTGATCATTTCCAACTTAAAAAGCGGCTACACGCAGTTGCAAACCAAGCTGAAGCCTCATGGACCTTAATCAAGAAAATGGAATCATAGCCTGGATCCAAATCCACTGTTGTAGGAAGTGATATTTAGTGAATTCTAAGGTATTCAGGAACTGTTGGTATCACTCAGTATGTGTTTAAAGTTCCAACTTTATCTACATGGCAAATTCAGCATGACAGTTCTGGAAAGAGCTTGGAAGTCACAGATCCAAATCATAACCAAGCAATGCACAGCATACCTTCTCAATTATGCAAATTCTCCAAGAAAAAAGTACCAAAGGAAGAGATAAAAGAGATAACATACTTCAATGCTTTGATCAACAATGAAAACAGAGCAGTGTGCAATGATATAATAAATTTATAGAAGTGATTTATCAGGGAAATGACGATTTTGAATCAGCTGGCATTAAAAATTCTGTCAGTTCCTGCTTTTTGAGAGGAGAAGAATTTTTTCTACCTTAAGCCATCTTCTCACACCAAAGAGATCATTTACTGAGGAAAATTTGGACATTCATATTCACTTCCTGTTCAACTTGGCTGATCTATTGGACTCAGATGGAGAGATACAGTAAAATTAGTATTGAGAATCAGATAAATTAATAAAAATGCAAATAAAATTGTGTGCTGAAAGCAAGTGTAATTTAAAAAAAGAATATATTAGGCAAAACAAAGCAGAAAATTTCTGTCAAAGTGAAATACAAAAATTTATATTTTTTAAAAATAAAGCAATTGTAGGTTGCCTTAGTCATTACATAAAATTGGTTGTATAAAAAATATAATAATAATAATTCCAAATATATACTAATGGAATTAATCAATGTAGCCTGTAAACAGCTCATATGTAAAAAAATCATAATTTCATCCATGTTTAAAGTTACTTACAGTATGTTAAGTAATACAAAAAGTTATGTTGCTAGTTTATCTTGATGATATTGCTAGTGGCATCATGATGTGTTATTAGTCAGTAAAGAACTGTGATAGCTTCACTTTTGACCAAATTATTTAGTATGTAATAATCACAATATAAAGAAGTGGTTTATATAATATGAAACAACTTTTTCTTGATTTTTTTCATATTAAAAATATTCTTTAATTAAAATAATAAGACTTGTTCTTTCTTCAATTTACAAATATATCAGGTTATTTTATGCAAATAATGCAGAAAATTGTATATAAATTATAAACAAAATTAAAAATAAAGACAATGCTGATTATTTATTCAATGTATCACTTTATCTTTAACATGTAAAACATTATTCTTTATAACATTTAACTTACTTTTTTTTTTTGAAAACAATCAAAAACATGATTCTTATTATTCCTAAGCAAAAGGCTACTAAAACAGTTTAAGATTAAAAAAGTTAACTGATATTTAACAGCAACTGTACACAGAATTAAACTATTGCACAAAATAATCATATTTTAAAATTTAAATTAATTAAAATTAACAAAAATTTCTAATATATTAGTATGCTGATAATGTGCTTCAGTATTATTCTCATTTTTTGTGTTTTTCAACAAATAAAAATAAACAATTGCATTAGATATTTAATAAATACTCAATAATACTTACCAAATTTGGACTGAAACAACTTCTGTAAGATTCAACTGAACCATGATTCAACCAAAATTCAGTTAGTACTAAAACTAATGTTTCTGATCTCCAAATTTCAAAATGTTCACTGTCCACAGCAGTTCCAGGGTTTGGTTTAGATGAACTTGGTGAAGTTGTTATTTTTAATAATGTTGGACTCTGTTTCAGAAGAGAATGATGATAAGGAGGTGAAGAAGAATGATGACTGTGGGGAATGCCTGATGTGCTGAATCCCTTTCTACAAAAAGTAAAAAAGTTTCAATACCATACAATAATCAATGTAATATACAGTACATTTTATATTCATTATCTTTTATAAATTATACACTAGAGCTGGTAACAAAAATATAAAGTATCATCATGTATTAAACTTTTCTGAAATATATACTGTATATCAAAATATGCATGTATTTTAATTTTAAAAAAAATTGATATATGCTTTTGCTTTAAACAGATCTAAAAAATAAATAAATAATATAATAAAATAAATTGTTAATATTTACAAAGTATGCTGTCTTTTTTGTTAAATATATATGCAAATAAAGCAAAAAGAAATATTGTGTTTAATATACTGGAAACAAATACAGAATATATTACAGGTGCAAAATTAAAGTCAGATGTGGGACCAGAACAAAGACTTGCAGTGATTGAAAATAATAAATATCCCAGGTGTTTTAAGAATATGAAACATATACTAGTGTATTACTGTTCAAATGAAAATAACTGTATAAAAATTGATATTTTCAACAACTGGTTAGTTAAATGAAGTATAAACAAGAAATAAAAGAGTAATATTTGATCTTAAATATAATTATTATTAGAAATTATTTATATTAATGATAGAAATATGATTTTATTTTTAAACATTTTTTAATATAATTAAATGTATATTTTTAAAATTCATTATTTAATTAAAAAAGTGCTGACATACCCTGAATATTGTGAAAGGGGAAATTTATGTTGTAATGTAGGAGTAAATGAAAATGGAAAGGTCACATTATCTCCAACTGGCAAAAAAGCATGTAAATAATCTTCAAGAAGACAAGAGTAGAGAGCTTCTGATGGATGAACTAAAATATGCTTTATAAATTTGATAGAAAAAATTATTATATATTATAAAGTTTTAATAAAATATAGAGCAAAATTCTTCAATTAATTAAAGATTTAAATTTTAACATTACAATATATTTCTCTATAAACTTCATTGTATTAAATTTATAAAATACAAATTTAAAATGTTACAAACAATAATAAAAATAAAGAAAAATATCTAAATTTAATTTGTTAATTTCAAATAAAAATAATTATTGTAAAAATATCAAATAAATAAAATAATTTTTAACAAATCCAGAGATTACACTTTATACTGTTTTATTATTTGTGATATTTACAGAAAATGTAAAAAATTTATTTTATTTTGTTAATAATAAAAAGGTATTATAACAATTTTAATTTAAATAATTATACTATAATTATACACCAAAACAACTGAAGAGATCCAGACCAAAAAAATACTATACATTTCCATAATCTCTTTTTATCGGGAAAAGAAAAAAACCAGATATCTTAATAATAATAATCCCTGAATATACAGGTACAGATACCACACAAAGATCATGAATACCAAAAATCAACACGTCAAAGATAGTAGGAAAAACACTAAATTATGTAAACACTCACTTACTACCATACTACATCCATTTCATTTCTACATTCTCAAACATTCGTACATTAGTTTATGCTGGGGCAGTCACAGTAGTGACTCACCATAGACTGAAAATACAATTGCAGACAGATACACACAAAATACAATTCTATCACAAGCCTGTCTGGCAGAGAAGAACAGAAACACAAATAAATGACATTAGACAGCAATTAGGCAGGCTGACACAATACACTAAAAACAACATAACACCCAAATTAAAGAAACAACTCAAAAACATTTTCAAGAAAATCAAAACACACACAAAACATGAACANACAAAAGTAATTAAGCAATAAAGAAGAATAAAGCAGAAATTTTTGAATAAAACCAGGATAAAGCAGAATTAAGGAACTTTGTCACAGTTGCTATATTTTTCCTTGCAGCCCAAACTCCCACACTTTGTCTCTCTGAACTTATTGACAACCATAACAACTTGTTGGCAAGATAAGTTTTTTGAAGGCTGTAGCAGTGTAGGCTGTAGTGACACCTATGTCCAAATATGCCAAAAATAGAGACTTTTTCCTCACTTTTATATATCCATATGAAAATACAATACAGGTACTCTTCACTTTATGACCGAGTTTCGTTCCTATGACTACATCATTAAGTGAATTGGTCAATAAGTGAGGAACTTGGAGCATAGGATCGTTGTAAAATTATAAAAATTATGTAACAAACTTCAAATTCATTCATAAAAAGACATGCATATGTACATATTATCATTTGTTTATTTGGTTATCTGGATCTATAGAGATTTTTTTCCCAGGTAAAGGAGATGATAACAATGAAATAAAAGTTGTACCTTCAAGGGCGGAGGTCTTGGATGTAACAGTCGATAAGAAACTCGTAAGGGTGCTTTGCATTGTACTCTTTTTTTCTTGATAAATTTCTCTATAGCACTTCAAAAGTTCACTCATCCCATGTTCAACTTTATGTTAAAACATTCAGTATTAGGATCCATAGCCTCAAGTTCCAACAAAGTCACGTTAATTTTGGAGAACACACCAGCTAACCCATGTACCGTGAATTTCTTTTTCACTTCTTCAGTTCTTTCGTCTTCTTCCTCTTCCAAATACTGCATCACTTCTAACTCTATTAAATCTTCATTTGTTAGCTCTCCATTGGCATAATCCACTAATTCAGCAATGTCTTCCACTTCAACATCTAAATTATTTTTTCTATTAAGCTTACATTACTTTTGTGCGCCCTCTGATGGTATCATTTTTAAATATTAAAAACTTCATCTTCATACCTTATAAAAATGTAATCATTTCCTTTCAGAAAAATTGCAGTGTTTTTTGTATTTAATGTTAAATAGAAATTTATTGTTTTTGTTAAATAAAATATTTGTTTATTTTTAAATTTTTACTTTGGATAATTTGGTATTTTTTATTTGCTCAATTAAGTAACAAAATAAACTAGCAACCTTTTAAAATTTTGGTAGCAAAAAAGTGACTTTTCATTTCAAACAGTTGGCAATATAGCTCCCATATCCCTAACATCTGGTAACTATTAGTTATATCTGATATATTGCTGTAGAAGATTTGAATAAACCAAATTTCTAAGTGTATTTCATTGTATCTTAAGATAATGCCAAGATACCGGTTACAGCAGCTCTTCAATTATGTGAATTTTCTGATGAAGGGTTTGTGGTGGAGTTTGAAATTTGCTCTGTGAGTACTTCAATACTATGGTCAGCTACAAAAAGTCCACTCTGAATACACATATTGTAAGTGTAAAAATTGCAAGGGCAAGAGTAGTAGCAGCAATCAAAGAAACTTGCTGTTTACTAGTAAACCTTCAAGATGGCAAAACATGGTTTCCATATTCTGTTCTGCAAAAATACTCTTGTACATTTTCCATCATGAAGGGTTTGAAAGTGGATGAAGTATAATTTAAAACTATCTCTGAGTAAAAACTTGCCTATGAAAGCACCTTGACCAGGATTCTTCCTAAAGATGGAAAAAAAGATTTAGACAGTAATGCACAAATGTGTCAAAGTGCTGATGTTCTGCTGATACTAGATGAATTGGTTGATGTGAAAGTTGTAAATACATTGGTTGTGTGTCTTGAACCTATGAACCACCCTGTCTAGTGTGATTGCAGATTGTAGAGAAGTATAACAGTCATATCATTGTCAAAGAAGTGTTTGCATCTCTTGAACTTTTGATATTGAGTTAGATACTTTTATTGGATTTTTGGCAGATTTGGATTTATAACACTCTGTATATGTAAACAAGATTGTTCTACATGACATGCTGAGCACACATTACACATTTAGTTGCAGAAGAGGTGTGCACTAAGTACAGCATCCTGAACCATTTCATCTCTGAGATAAAGACAGCTCTAGTGAAGGCAGCAAACAGAAGAAATTTTTTGCAGATAGCTCTATCTGCTAAGGACCATTCTTTAGGACTTCCACCTGTACCAGTTATACTCAATGGAAGACATGGCTAAATGCAGTTTTGTACTACTGTAAGAGGTGGGACACTAGTGACATGGATTAGAAAAAATCAGACTATGAAAGGAGCTGCATTGCAAGGGTTCAGCGAGTTACTTGATCATTTCCAACTTAAAAAGCGGCTACACGCAGTTGCAAACCAAGCTGAAGCCTCATGGACCTTAATCAAGAAAATGGAATCATAGCCTGGATCCAAATCCACTGTTGTAGGAAGTGATATTTAGTGAATTCTAAGGTATTCAGGAACTGTTGGTATCACTCAGTATGTGTTTAAAGTTCCAACTTTATCTACATGGCAAATTCAGCATGACAGTTCTGGAAAGAGCTTGGAAGTCACAGATCCAAATCATAACCAAGCAATGCACAGCATACCTTCTCAATTATGCAAATTCTCCAAGAAAAAAGTACCAAAGGAAGAGATAAAAGAGATAACATACTTCAATGCTTTGATCAACAATGAAAACAGAGCAGTGTGCAATGATATAATAAATTTATAGAAGTGATTTATCAGGGAAATGACGATTTTGAATCAGCTGGCATTAAAAATTCTGTCAGTTCCTGCTTTTTGAGAGGAGAAGAATTTTTTCTACCTTAAGCCATCTTCTCACACCAAAGAGATCATTTACTGAGGAAAATTTGGACATTCATATTCACTTCCTGTTCAACTTGGCTGATCTATTGGACTCAGATGGAGAGATACAGTAAAATTAGTATTGAGAATCAGATAAATTAATAAAAATGCAAATAAAATTGTGTGCTGAAAGCAAGTGTAATTTAAAAAAAGAATATATTAGGCAAAACAAAGCAGAAAATTTCTGTCAAAGTGAAATACAAAAATTTATATTTTTTAAAAATAAAGCAATTGTAGGTTGCCTTAGTCATTACATAAAATTGGTTGTATAAAAAATATAATAATAATAATTCCAAATATATACTAATGGAATTAATCAATGTAGCCTGTAAACAGCTCATATGTAAAAAAATCATAATTTCATCCATGTTTAAAGTTACTTACAGTATGTTAAGTAATACAAAAAGTTATGTTGCTAGTTTATCTTGATGATATTGCTAGTGGCATCATGATGTGTTATTAGTCAGTAAAGAACTGTGATAGCTTCACTTTTGACCAAATTATTTAGTATGTAATAATCACAATATAAAGAAGTGGTTTATATAATATGAAACAACTTTTTCTTGATTTTTTTCATATTAAAAATATTCTTTAATTAAAATAATAAGACTTGTTCTTTCTTCAATTTACAAATATATCAGGTTATTTTATGCAAATAATGCAGAAAATTGTATATAAATTATAAACAAAATTAAAAATAAAGACAATGCTGATTATTTATTCAATGTATCACTTTATCTTTAACATGTAAAACATTATTCTTTATAACATTTAACTTACTTTTTTTTTTTGAAAACAATCAAAAACATGATTCTTATTATTCCTAAGCAAAAGGCTACTAAAACAGTTTAAGATTAAAAAAGTTAACTGATATTTAACAGCAACTGTACACAGAATTAAACTATTGCACAAAATAATCATATTTTAAAATTTAAATTAATTAAAATTAACAAAAATTTCTAATATATTAGTATGCTGATAATGTGCTTCAGTATTATTCTCATTTTTTGTGTTTTTCAACAAATAAAAATAAACAATTGCATTAGATATTTAATAAATACTCAATAATACTTACCAAATTTGGACTGAAACAACTTCTGTAAGATTCAACTGAACCATGATTCAACCAAAATTCAGTTAGTACTAAAACTAATGTTTCTGATCTCCAAATTTCAAAATGTTCACTGTCCACAGCAGTTCCAGGGTTTGGTTTAGATGAACTTGGTGAAGTTGTTATTTTTAATAATGTTGGACTCTGTTTCAGAAGAGAATGATGATAAGGAGGTGAAGAAGAATGATGACTGTGGGGAATGCCTGATGTGCTGAATCCCTTTCTACAAAAAGTAAAAAAGTTTCAATACCATACAATAATCAATGTAATATACAGTACATTTTATATTCATTATCTTTTATAAATTATACACTAGAGCTGGTAACAAAAATATAAAGTATCATCATGTATTAAACTTTTCTGAAATATATACTGTATATCAAAATATGCATGTATTTTAATTTTAAAAAAAATTGATATATGCTTTTGCTTTAAACAGATCTAAAAAATAAATAAATAATATAATAAAATAAACTGTTAATATTTACAAAGTATGCTGTCTTTTTTGTTAAATATATATGCAAATAAAGCAAAAAGAAATATTGTGTTTAATATACTGGAAACAAATACAGAATATATTACAGGTGCAAAATTAAAGTCAGATGTGGGACCAGAACAAAGACTTGCAGTGATTGAAAATAATAAATATCCCAGGTGTTTTAAGAATATGAAACATATACTAGTGTATTACTGTTCAAATGAAAATAACTGTATAAAAATTGATATTTTCAACAACTGGTTAGTTAAATGAAGTATAAACAAGAAATAAAAGAGTAATATTTGATCTTAAATATAATTATTATTAGAAATTATTTATATTAATGATAGAAATATGATTTTATTTTTAAACATTTTTTAATATAATTAAATGTATATTTTTAAAATTCATTATTTAATTAAAAAAGTGCTGACATACCCTGAATATTGTGAAAGGGGAAATTTATGTTGTAATGTAGGAGTAAATGAAAATGGAAAGGTCACATTATCTCCAACTGGCAAAAAAGCATGTAAATAATCTTCAAGAAGACAAGAGTAGAGAGCTTCTGATGGATGAACTAAAATATGCTTTATAAATTTGATAGAAAAAATTATTATATATTATAAAGTTTTAATAAAATATAGAGCAAAATTCTTCAATTAATTAAAGATTTAAATTTTAACATTACAATATATTTCTCTATAAACTTCATTGTATTAAATTTATAAAATACAAATTTAAAATGTTACAAACAATAATAAAAATAAAGAAAAATATCTAAATTTAATTTGTTAATTTCAAATAAAAATAATTATTGTAAAAATATCAAATAAATAAAATAATTTTTAACAAATCCAGAGATTACACTTTATACTGTTTTATTATTTGTGATATTTACAGAAAATGTAAAAAATTTATTTTATTTTGTTAATAATAAAAAGGTATTATAACAATTTTAATTTAAATAATTATACTATAATTATACACCAAAACAACTGAAGAGATCCAGACCAAAAAAATACTATACATTTCCATAATCTCTTTTTATCGGGAAAAGAAAAAAACCAGATATCTTAATAATAATAATCCCTGAATATACAGGTACAGATACCACACAAAGATCATGAATACCAAAAATCAACACGTCAAAGATAGTAGGAAAAACACTAAATTATGTAAACACTCACTTACTACCATACTACATCCATTTCATTTCTACATTCTCAAACATTCGTACATTAGTTTATGCTGGGGCAGTCACAGTAGTGACTCACCATAGACTGAAAATACAATTGCAGACAGATACACACAAAATACAATTCTATCACAAGCCTGTCTGGCAGAGAAGAACAGAAACACAAATAAATGACATTAGACAGCAATTAGGCAGGCTGACACAATACACTAAAAACAACATAACACCCAAATTAAAGAAACAACTCAAAAACATTTTCAAGAAAATCAAAACACACACAAAACATGAACATCACAACACACACATTACAGAATACATCGATACACTAAA